CTCTGAAGAATCGTTTCAGAGTGCACCATATGAAGAAGAGTCAGACAACATCAGCGAACTTGAAACTGAAAACGATGACTATAGATTTATACCGCTGAATAATCCTGAAAATAATCCTTCTAACATTTTCCAAGGAGACTTTCTTGTTATTAAATATTGCACAACAAAGCCACAAAAGTGTTATGTCGGACAGGTTGAAGAGATTCTTGAAGATAATGGCGAACAATACCGTATAAATAAAAAAAAAAAAAACCGGTAACTCATTTGTTTTTCCAATATTGCAGACAAAGACCCTGTAGACTTTTTTCAAGTAGAGATAGATGAAGCTTCCAAGTCCAAAAAATTGTAAAACTACTAAACGGGTCAGCTCTATTAAATGTTTTAAAATAGACTTAAGTTTATATAACATCATTTAAAGATTTCCAGAGTTTGATCTCTTTAGTTTTCGTCGAAGTTCATCAGAAAACCTGTTTCATGTTCTTTAATGTTTTTTTTTTTACTTTCTATTGATAATTTCTTTTCATTTTCTCATTAAATTATGTATTTTTTAAGCAAAACGTACAAAGATTTATTATATTCCAATGTGCCCCGTTAAAGTACCAATGTGCACATTGGTGCAAAAGCAGACCATTTAAGAAAAAAATATTTCTTGGTTCCATGAAATATATGTGCAAATTTTAAACATGGGTAACCTATTAGAAAGAACAAAAAATGTATGAACCGAGTTTGAAACTTTTCTTGTGGATATGTTATGAGATACCAGTTAAAATGTCTGAAATGTACCAGTGTACCCCAATCTTCTTTAGCTTTAGTTTGTCAACAAAGTTGTACATACGTTTAGAGTCAGAAGAGAACCTTCCTCATTACCCTTGTAAAAAGAAGCTCTAAAGGCGAATCCAAAACTTGGAAGCACATAACGAAGTCGAGAATATTAAATTAGGGAAATAACAGCAAGCCGTCTGGAGATAACGGAAAGTTATCAAATATTTAAAGAGAATAATGCTGGAACTCAAAAAATTGATTATGGAGGAAAAAGAAAATGGTGTTTTTGAAAATTTTGAAAATGATAAAGAAATTGTTGAACGAGTATTTAGGAAAACCTTGGGCAAGACTGCATCTAAGACATTCATCAAAATCTTTTGCAATTACACTACATTTTATTTCCGTTAATCCAATATCATCAAACAAATAAATTGATTGTGTAAAAATTTGATAAATACTGTTGTTAAATTGTAAAAATCCTGAAATATAATTATTCACTTTCAAAATGACTTTATTTTACTCAATTTTTAATCTAATAAAAATATTATATGATACACCACTGGTAAATACTAATGTCAAGTAGCCATTTTGGATAACCATTCTGGTTACTGACCTTGACCTAACCATCCTTCCTCGCTACTTTATATTCTAAGATAATATCATTTTATAATTTTTATCATCCAGGAAAAAAAACATGTACAAGGTGCTCGATAAAGTTGGTCTCAATTCAGAACACGTCAGACCTTAATAACATAGTATTTTTAAATTTAAATGTATGTAACTTTTTTGCTATAAACGATTAATTTTAAGATATATTATTTCATCTCAAATTAACGTTTAATTATTAATAAAAGATACTTTTTAATGTGGAAGGGGGATAAACTAGCTGAGCACGATTTTTTTATTTTGATTTATGGACTGACGAGTAACGTTTCATAATAATGGCGTAGCATTTAGTGGTAATTTTCACTGATGCTATGAAATTCAAAACTCAGATTAAATACCCGCATTAAATAGGAATTGATGGTCAATTAATATTTAGAGCCCTATTATAGGTAAATGAACACAAAATTTCAAATATTTATTGAATTTAAGTAGATTTAAACAATGCATCATTGTTTAGAACATTTTTTATGTCAATACTAAAGGTTATCTGATTACAAGAAATACTCTAGATGACATCCAAAATACAGGGTGAATGCTAAGTTGATACTATTTGTTTTTAACTGTTTATAGAAGTTATTAAAATTAAATTTTTTTTTTCAAAAATAAGAAAGATGCATAATAAAAAATCTAAATCCGGGACTTGACTTGTGTATGAAAAGTAAGTCTGTTTTTATCTTTTTTTGGTTTTTTTCATGAATGATGCATCAATTGTGGATCGGTTATTTAGTCGAGTGTGATTTCAGTAGCGTGTTTATCTAAATTACTGAATTTAAATTATTCGGTTTGGTAAAATAGAAGTACAGTGTGCTAAGAAAAACACATTTTGGTGATTGCAGATGAAGTGAAAGTATGACAAAGAAAAGTGTGAACTACAATGCGGGAAAATCAATTCGTTCTACGTGTTCCAACACTAAAATTTTAAATAGAATTCAGTTATGTGAATGGTTATTACAACAGCATAAATATGATCAATAGTTTTTAAAGAAAATCTAGACACTGTTTAAATTAGACAGGACCGTATTGGATACGTTTTAGAATAAGTTATTGTAAGTTTATTATTTTTGAGTTTTTTTTGAAAAAATTATATTAAAATTATTTTTTTAAGAAATGTTAGAAGAAATTAACAATAAAAAGGAATATGTTGAACATAAAGTGTAGATACCAAAATAATTTTTGGCATTAATTTAAAAAATCATAATTAATGTTCTGACAGGTAAATTTTAATCTAAAAAGTCTGATATACAAAAATTTTAATATACTGGGTGACAATGAGACTAGGGCCATGTTAATAGATCTTTTATTTATTAAGAAATTTGAATAAAATTTAGAACAAACATACCATACAATTTTGAATTGATACTTATATTTAAACAAAATTCTGTATATTTCATGTTTTTTGGAATATACGGTTCAAATTACGTATAACACTAAATTTTCATTTTTTTAAATCAATTTATTTTTCATAATTTTTTTTGAGGTAGATTGCCATGATCTGGAAAATATCTAATATGCTCCAAAGTGATGTATAATGCATATTGTCAGATTGATAATAAAATTTTTCTATACCCACATGGATATTAACTTATCTACGCACAGATTATAATACGAAAAAGTATGCTATTGCCTTCAACTGAACGAATATATTTCATATCCATTCTAGGTAGTGAGAACACTGAAAAAAAAATTAAATCTGCCAATCACCGTTTATATTTTGATCAACCGACTGCTATTATTTTTAAAATTTTAAATAAATGACAACTCTGTCAAAATAATTGTCAGTATCTTTTTTAGTTATTGAGATTAAACATGCATTAAAATGGGCTATTCTTGTGTAGAATCGATAAACAATAGCGTTTCTTTTTTATTTCGTCTATAATTATAAATAATTTGTTAATTTAAATAAATACTATATGAAGTCAATTTAATTACGAGTATTACAGCAACAAAAATAAAATAACAGATGGTCAAGTGGTCAGCGTTCTTGCCTTCCACACAAGACTCGAGTTCGATTCTTGGATGGGGAAAAACTTTTATAAATTATTTTAAAATTAGTTATTTTGTCTTAATAACCTTAAAATATTTTTTTATTTGTAAATTTTGGTTAGTGGGTCGTAGAAAAAATATACTGTACAACTCGATGTGGCCATTATATCCACTCTTGTTGCACAAACTACTATTTCTATCCAACGGCAAAATGACCCTCAATAAATATAATTTATTGAGATACAGGAATTTATTTTTAATATGAAGGATATATTTTTAACTCAATTGGTAGAATAGTTTTTGTTTCAATTTATTCAAGAATATTAGAGCATTATTCTCCTGTTCATGGCCTTCTACCTAAAAATTAAAAAAAAAACAAATTGTTCGGAAAAACTGAAAAGTTGGCAACACTGTCATAATTATATTGAATCATAGATTTTAAATAATATAAAATATATGACATTCATTTAAAAAAATCGGCCATTTTGTTTAATTATTTATTAATTCGAAATTATGTCAATTGCTTTGTCCCAAATTTGATCCCAATCGCTTCCTTCATAAGCAAAAGATATATTAGAGTGACTCTGGTCTCATTGTCACCAGGTATAGGATGATTCAAATACATATATGCAGTTATAGATAGGCGATTTTTATTAAATGGACCACTCTCTATGTTTTGATTTTTTAATTTTTTTGGATATGCTGGGTTCAATGACCTACAATACTTATATGCTTTTCTAAAATGATATCAAACATAATTTTATTCTTTTCTTTTTGATAATTGTCAAATATTAACTGATTTGATTTAGAAATTTTAAGAAGTCAAAAAAGTTCAATTTTATTATAGGAAACGCTAATTTCATTCTGTAGTGTTTCACTGAAAAAAAAAATAAGGTATTAAGGTTTTAAAATGTAATAAATTAGTAGAATTTTATGGATCATCCTGTGTACTTTTGTTCAGAACCATAATAAAGTAATAATAAAGTAAGTACCACAAGTCATTCTTGCACCTACGATTTTTTTAAATAATTTCCTGCTAATTCTGATTATTAAAAATAATTTAAATTTAAAAAAACAAACAAAAATTTCTAAAGTCGTAACATTTGTTATAGGACGCTGTATAAAAGATTGCTTTAATTTTTTTTTTCCGTAGAATCAAAATATATAACACGTCATTTAAGAACACTCTGTATATTTCTGCAAAATTTTAAACTGTAACCAATTTGAATCCACATACAAATCAGTTCAATTATTATTAACCTTGTATAAAATTCGTCGAATATTGCGGACCACCCTGTATATCAACACAGGTGAAGAGTTAATAAAATTAGGTTATAACCTTTTTACGTAACAAAATATTTTAATTTAATTAAAAAAAATCGAATGTTAAATATTTTTAAGATTATTTTCAACCAAGACCCAGCTCAAGTGACCATCTCCTGGTAAAAGATTGATAGTATCCTTCAAAACTGTATCAAAAGCGCTACTTACTATTTGATACAAATTTCAGCCTGGAAACAATTTTTTTATAAAGAATCTATATCCCAAAGCGCAAAAATGTTTATAAAAATTTACTATTCCGAAAATACCCTTAAGCTCCCTATTTTACATCACGTAAGAAAGCAAACTATTTAACTATGAAATAAAAATTACTAAATATATTTTTAACTTTTTTTTTAAGTTTAATTATAAAAATACCATGGATACTTTCAATATTTTACCGAAAATCGGTCAATTCTTCGTATAAAAAATTACAATTTAACTAACCTAAAAACTAAATCAACATTATTCCTCCGGCCAACCGAGATCTTCCCCTACCAGTTCGTAGAATTTTTGGTTGTGTTCCCCGAAATATTTCCTGAGCCGTGAAATGACTTCAGGATCGACTCTAGGATGCTTCCTGCCCTTGGTTTCTCTTAGACATCTATGCGATTAAAACAAATATTAATATTTTATAAAAAGCCATAAGGATCACACTCTGTGTCCAGTGCAAAGGTTACATACCTGTCTGATGTCTCATTCCTAAGGCAGTAAAAGCCCTTAGTTTCGTTAAAATAAAAATTATGGGTTCCTATTCTGGGTTCTATACCCAAAAACCTCTCGATTTTTTGAATTTGACTAACGGGGTCCTCGATTAAAAGATCTCCGTTGACTATTAGAAGCTGGTCTCTAGTAAAAGCTTCTAACCACCTGCGAAACATAAAATGTATTTATTGAGAGTAAGAATAATTATGGTCTTATTTTTAAATTTAAAAGAAAATGGCTTTATTGTGTCTAACCTGTGCATGTAGTTGTGATACAGCGAGATCGCCAGAGGTCGATAGGCCTCGTTGATGGACCCATTAGAATAGAGCGCCAATTGCTCAAAGGATTTCGGCGGGGGAGTCGGAAGGGCGGGGGAAGCAGTTGCTGCGTTAGCTCTAAGTTGAGTGTAGTCCGAAATAGCTCTAGTGACGGGTTCGCGAACTATCAGGAGCAATTTTATGCTGGCGTTCATGGCTCGGATACGTTCGGGGACCTACGAACCAAACAAATATTTATATAACTTCTCACTATAGCTATTGTAAAGATTGTTGTGTATTTTTCGGAAATTATTTCACAATCACTGAATTACATTCTAACAGCTCAACTGTATTTGAGAACTGGAATCGACGCTTCTGTTTGAACCAAAACAAACCCGTAGAAAAACCTAATTTTAAAAAAAGTAATACTCACTTCTGGTGTGACAAAGTAACTAGGACTCTTTTCAATAGTTATTTGTCCCGGATACGAGTGAGGCATCTGCATTCTGTACCATTCCAAGCCTTTAAAGTAATTCTCGTCTCGATCGAAAAAATGTATTTCTCCAGCTGCTTTTTGAATCATCGGATGTAAATACAACATTTCCAATAGTGCTCTGGTACCACATTTTCTTACTCCCATAATAATAGCCTACAAAATAAGCAAATAAATGATTAGAGTGGAGAACATTTGATGGTCAGGTAATGTTCCTTAAGGTTCATCTAAATATGGTAGACTTATACACCGTTGTGCGTAATTGCTCTATAAATCAATTTGTGTTATAGATACACAAACAAGCAATTAATTTTTTTTTTGTAAAATTAAAGAGTGATGCAGACCCAAAATAAAATTTGCATAATTTAGGTAGGTTAGCAACTATTTTAAAATTGTTTAAAATACAGATTTATAAGATACAAACTTTACGAATACTGATGATAGAACTGATTTATTTTATACTGAGTGTTTTAAAACATGTAATAAATATGGCTAATTTTAGGTTAAATTTACTTAAGTTTTTAAATGCAATAACAGTTGAAATTGGGTTACTAGATAAATTACTTATGACAACACCTGTATGCATAAGTTTTCAAAAGATATTAAATTCAAACTTCTGAGCATTGGAATGGGTACTAGTTATGTAGGTATGTTGTTGATATAATTTAAGAATTATCTAGATCACCAGTCCAAAGTATCAGTATATCTGTAATAGAATTTAATGGCTGTTCAAAATTCATTGTTGTTCAAGATATTGTTTCTCTAAATTATGCATAAAGATGTCAGCAAGTATAGGTGATAGAGGTGAACCCATAACTAATCTAGTCATTTGTGTAAATATTTAATTGTTAAAAAAGAAGAAATTGTGTTCAAAACTAATAGTAAGTTTATAAGTTCAACTAATTTATCATCTGGAAACGAAGAGTTAGAAAGTAGAATATAATGTAATCCAAGACTTCTGGAATAAGTATATTAGTACAAATATATGATACATCTAATGAAATTAAATAATATGTGTCATTCAGCTAGACATCTTTAATTTCTTCTATGAATTGTACACTGTTGTTTATTGTATAAGCAATTACATAGCGCCGACCACACAAGGCTATATCAGCAAGTAAAAAGGGATAATATTCTAGCTATGCCTACTGATAGAGCCATAACCACATACAAATTTAAAAGAAATTATCAAATTCAAATACCAGCCCAAGAATCCTGGAAACAGGGACCTCCCGTACAGGCTGAACTCGTCTGGTACACAGATGGTTCAAAGACCAAGGAAGGAGCCGGTGCTGGAATCTATGGACCCAAGTCGAAAACAACGATTTCGCTGAGTTTAGGAAAATATGCAACAGTGTTCCAGGCTAAACTAATAGCCATACAACACTATGCAAGAGAAATAATAAATCAGCAAGTATCAGGCAAAACTATTGCCATATACTCTAATAGCAGCTCTAAAGGCAATTCTCTCACCAGAAATCAAATCACGACTGGTAAAAGACTGTCTAGAAAACCTGGCAGAGCTAAGTAGTCAAAATAAGGTGACCCTAGCCTGGGTTCAAGGACATGAGGGATATCAGGGCTCAGATAAGGCCATGACAGGCCCCGAATCCTTCTGTAGAGTTGCTAAGGCATTGTGCAAGGCATCCATTAAACAATGGATGCAAAAAGAGTATCAGGAATGATGGAACAACTATCCAAGACTGAAACAGGCCGAAGAGTTCATCAAGGAACCATCGACCAAGTTCACGAAAGACCTACTGGAGTAAAAGCTTCAAACCGTTAGGATAACAGTAGATCTTCTTACTGGACACTGTCGCCTTAAAAGGCACATAAGTGTCATTAATCCAGCAGAAGAAGCAACTTTGTTCAAGTTCTGTGAAGAAGAAGAAAAAGAAGAAGAAGAAGAAGAAGAAGAAGGGGAAACATCATTTCACGTCCTGTGTCAATGTGAAGACCTGGTTGGAATAAGGTTTCTAACATTGGGCGATGAAAAGCCAAATGTATGCAACTACATGCGGGAGCCACTGTCAAAGCTACTAAGTCTAATAAAAAAGACCAGGCTAGACGACATACTCTAAAACAAATAGATCTGAAAAGGTCACGGTGGACAAGAACAAATAACGTCCAACTCCTAATCTAATCTAATCTAATAAACAAATGATCTTTGTAATGTTCTTTAAGTATTTCATTAAGCCTCTTAGAAGTGTAATGAGTTGAAGAATTGACAAATGATACTACCGCTCTAATAGATATTTCATCAAAAACATTTGAATATGCATTTTAAAAGCCCTTTTTTAAATTAAGGAATTTTAATATAATACGAATGTTACTTCTTCTTTATTAAAATGGAATTGATTGTGAGACTACTTAAGTTTTTTTAGAGGTATCACCTACCTGCGGTAATCTTCTGGCTGCTGCTGGATATAACCTTCTGGAAAGAAGAAGAACTGGAGGCCTTGCATGTTCGACGTTCTTTGTCTGGAGACTGTTAAGGGCACTGTCGTAGATCAAATGGAAGGTGAAGAAAAGCGAGATCAGCATGATTGTGAGTATTGCTAACGCCATCTTTGGTCTTGACACGCCGACCACCAACACGCAATCGGACGAGTCGCCCTCCATCGACTTTATAGCCGCTTTTGGGAGCCATCTGCAAAGAAAATAGAGAAACTTACTCAATATCAATAGAAGTGTATTTTGTCTGTTTTATATGTAGCGTATTAATTTCAAAGCAGAATTTTTGACTCACAAATTGACAAATTATAATATTTACAAAAAAAAGTTAAAAGGATTTAACGCTTGGAGTTAGCGTTCTTTTGTTATGGTTCATTATTCCTTACACTGTCAAGAAACATTAAGTAGTAGCCACCACTATTACCGGATCCAACCTTTATAGTTTTTTTTAGATGCGGTCGTTATATACTTTACAGTTACAAATTGTTAAGGAAAGCGATTAGGAGAAGTAATTATAATAATATTTATTTGCAAAAAAATGGTTTTTGTACAATATAACAACATAACAAATAAATATAGTTAAGCCACAGGAGAGCAAGCCCTCGAGCGTGACGATAAAATGAAACAAAAAACAATAAAATATAAAATATAAGATGTAAAATGACAAAATAATACTAAAACTTATACTACAATATAGAAACATAGGCAATAAATAAATATAGCTTAAGAATTGATATATTAAATGCCTAGAAAAGGCAGTATAATTATATTGACTAAGTGTCTAACTCGATATAACTATGTATTTGTGCCCGTGTTACTGAGGGCAGGCGTTTTAGGTCTGTTGGTAACAGGTTGTAACATCGAGGACCAAGGAATAGGTAGGACTTTTTCATTATCTCCTTTTCAGGTTTAGGGACCTGAAAGGCATTGGCTTTATACCGCGTGTTGTAGTCATGCTCTACTGGTTTTAAGTCCTGTTTGTTTTGATGTTGTCTAAGCATGATATTGAAAAAGTACAATCGTCTTATATCAAAAATACTGGTTTTTGATATAATGCATTAGTTGAATAGATAGATGGTTTTTTGAGTATAGCTTCTATTATACACTTTTGTATTAGACCAAGAGCCCAGTGCCCCCAGACATAACTTATTTTCTAAAGGACAAAATGTGGGGCATCAAGTAGTGTCTATATATGTATTGAATGCCTCCATACCTGATAAGTTGGTTAGTGGGCCAATTCACAGGTACCAGGTGAGAAAGGTAACTATAAATAAGGTTAACTTTACTTATTTTCTAAAGACTGATTTTTATATATATTCCATAAAATATTATTAGAAAATAATATTGAACATTGCCAGACACTTTCCGTGGGCCATAACTTCCGCTAGACGCTTTAAAGCTCCCAATTTTTTTTGTAACTTTACTTATATTCTAATGTCTGGTTTTTATATATGTTATTTAAAGAACTATTTTAAACATATATTTATTCAGCCAGACTAATTGTAAGGGCCAAACACCCCCCAGACACCAAAACCATTCAGCCGTGAGTATACGCGACTGTACTATGCTCGTGCTTTGGAGAGAGTGAGATACCTATACAAAGTTAAAAGTAGGAACTATTTAAATAATTATTACTTAAAAATATTAAAAGAAAATGTTTGTGTATAAAAATTTTGTGAAAAACGTCTTTTTAAAAAGTAACTTAGGTGTATAAAAATGTCATTTAAAAATATGTAAATGTATCTCAATCGTCCTGGTCATCATTGTTGGCGTCATTAGATTATTCATCATCAAACCAATCATGATCGTCTACATTGAAGTATTCATCACCATCATCGTCTTCCATCTCGTTATCGTTATCGTCGCTAGCAGCTTCTTCTATAAAAACAAATCAACAAATTAGAAAACTTAGTTGTTTAAATTTAGAAATTGAAGTCAATGTAAAATACCTGTATTTTGCTGAAGCGATTCACTGACAAAACCCGGTAATTGGTCACCATCAAACCAGTGAAACTGGTACTGGTTGCCTTCCAATGTCCACCCGTTGTTTTCTGGAGTAAAAATGGTCGGTTGTTTTTTATGGGCATTATTCCAAATACTTGATATACAGTGAGCACCATAAGTCTTACCCCCCCCCCCTATCTAACTCATTACTGGAGTCTTGTTAGGAAAATTGCCGAGACAGGTCGATTTTTGATTTCTACAATGTACATTTTTGTATGATTAATTTACCCTTAATTTTATCCCTTACTGGAGGGGAGCAACCCTTTCGAAAAATTTAATTGGCATGGGGTGGTGAGTGATAGCTCATTTGAAAGAGGATTTTATTCTCTATATAACCGTGCAAAAAATTTTTAAATTTGCTTCATTACGTGTTGATTTATTAATGTTTAAAAATAACAAAACCTCACAAAATAGGAAAGCAACTAAACTAACAGTGACCTTCTAATGGCAAAAAGTCTTACTTTACGTCTGAACCAAAACCGAAATCATGCAGGACCGAATTTTAATTCTAAGGATGAGTGCGCTACGTTAATTTCCGTTATTCTGAAACAACAATTAGTCGAGAATTAATAAAGCAAATTTCAAAATGTTTTACACGGTTGAATAGAGAAAAAAACTCTCTTTCAAATGAGCAATCACTCACCACCCCATGCCATTTAAATTTTTCGAAAGGGTTGCTCCCCTCCAGTAAGGGATGAAATAAAGGGTTAACTATTCATACAAAAATGTACATTGTAGAAAACAAGAATCGACGTGTCTCGGCGATTTTCCTAACAAGACTCCAGTAATGAGTTAGATAGGGGGGTAAGACTTATGGTGCTCACTGTATAATTTGCCTGAAGAAATTGTTGAAAAAGCTCAGTTTTGCAGGGTGGTAGATTGCTCGCATCAAAGTTTTTCAAGTTCTTATTGTTAAATTTCTCATTTTCATCCGAAACTTTGTAATTATTTACGAACAGTTGAAGTCGGACAGCATTCACTTCAACTGTTCCAGTAACGTTGTAAATGTCACATATGAAATTTTGTATTTTGTTAAATATAATTTTTTGAACATCTGGATTCATAAATGACTTTAACTGGCCGAATTCTATAAAAGCTTGCTGATACTCTAATAACATAATACGCTTTCCTTTTCTTGAAGAATTTAGCAATTTTCTTAATGAACATTTTCGATTTTGTCAAAAAAAAACATACTTTACTCTTGAACAAAATTCATATTTTTTGACAAACCTTGTATACGGCTTGAAAAATTTAATACCTGATGACTGTATTTTAAGTTTTGGGTCAAGAATAACTTTTTTTCCTAAAATCAATAATAAATTTTTTATTCATACGGTTCCAACTTAAGTAGACACACTGTATAATTGAGTTGAAATAAACTGGCAATTTATTCTAAGTTTTTTCATTCAAAAATACATCACTCTGTACTGAATTGTAACTGTTGCCCTAACTATAGATAATAATATTTTTATAACACAATTTCACAAAATTTAATAATTTTGTCCACGACCACTTAATAATAAATCAATATTTTACCTCCTAACTTAAAGCATATGGTACCCATATATCACTAGAGTGAATTATGATAATTCACGCTTTTGTAATTCTGGCAATTTCCGGTAGATAACTAAAGATGGGCGATACTTTTCATAACGATATTTTCTAGATCGAAAAATTTGAAAATCAGGAAATTAAAAAGTCGAAAAAACAAAAAATCTAAAAATCGAAAAACCAAAAAAATCGAAAAATCAAAAAATCGAAAAATCGAAAAATCGAAAAATCGAAAAATCGAAAAATCGAAAAATCGAAAAATCGAAAAATCGAAAAATCGAAAAATCGAAAAATCGAAAAATCGAAAAATCGAAAAATCGAAAAATCGAAAAATCGAAAAATCAAAAAATCGAAAAATCGAAAAATCGAAAAATCGAAAAATCAAAAAATCGAAAAATCGAAAAATCGAAAAATCGAAAAATCGAAAAATCGAAAAATCGAAAAATCGAAAAATCGAAAAATCGAAAAATCGAAAAATCGAAAAATCGAAAAATCGAAAAATCAAAAAATCGAAAAATCGAAAAATCGAAAAATCGAAAAATCGAAAAATCGAAAAATCGAAAAATCGAAAAATCGAAAAATCGAAAAATCGAAAAATCGAAAAATCGAAAAATCGAAAAATCGAAAAATCGAAAAATCGAAAAATCGAAAAATCGAAAAATCGAAAAATCGAAAAATCGAAAAATCGAAAAATCGAAAAATCGAAAAATCGAAAAATCGAAAAATCGAAAAATCGAAAAATCGAAAAATCGAAAAATCGAAAAATCGAAAAATCGAAAAATCGAAAAATCGAAAAATCGAAAAATCGAAAAATCGAAAAATCGAAAAATCGAAAAATCGAAAAATCGAAAAATCGAAAAATCGAAAAATCGAAAAATCGAAAAATCGAAAAATCGAAAAATCGAAAAATCGAAAAATCGAAAAATCGAAAAATCGAAAAATCGAAAAATCGAAAAATCGAAAAATCGAAAAATCGAAAAATCGAAAAATCGAAAAATCGAAAAATCGAAAAATCAAAAAATCGAAAAATCTAAACGAAGAATCAAAAAATCGAAAAATTTAAAAATTTAAAAATTTAAAAAATCTAAAAATCATTAATTCGAAAAATTGGAAAATCGGAAAATTGAGAAGTTGAAAAACAACAGTTTAATAAAAACTTTCCATTCTACACTTAACTTTTATTTAATAAAGAAACCATAATTGTTGTGGACAAAGTATAGTATTAGACTCGCAATTTATGGCTATTATTCACCCTACGTGAATAATGGCTACCATAAATTGCTCGTTTAATAATATACCATATTTGTCGAATCAAACTACCTTGAACAATTCAGTAGCATCTAACTTGTAATAAAACTTCAAAACATATTTTTCCAATGTAAAAATCAGAACCTAATTTAGAATACATTGGAATCAAAGACCCATCTGCAATCCAAGCTTGCCTTTTAGCATAGAAAAACGTAAAAAAGATTCAAAAGATGTAACAAGTTGTAAGGAATAAAGAAAGACTAGACGTGAAGCACAATGCATGCATTCTAATTTTGAAGTGACATTTTCCCAGACAAGGTCTTGGCAATTTCCAATTTTTACGGTGTCTGGAAAATATAAAGTTATGCATATTAGCAGAGGCGTCTTTTGAAA